CATGCATTGATAACAGCTCACGCATTGATAACAGCTCACGCATTGATAACAGCTCACGCATTGATAACAGCTCACGCATTGATAACAGCTCATGCATTGATAACAGCTCATGCATTGATAACAGCTCACGCATTGATAACAGCTCATGCATTGATAACAGCTCACGCATTGATAACAGCTCACGCATTGATAACAGCTCACGCATTGATAACAGCTCACGCATTGATAACAGCTCACGCATTGATAACAGCTCACGCATTGATAACAGCTCACGCATTGATAACAGCTCATGCATTGATAACAGCTCATGCATTGATAACAGCTCACGCATTGATAACAGCTCACGCATTGATAACAGCTCACGCATTGATAACAGCTCACGCATTGATAACAGCTCATGCATTGATAACAGCTCACGCATTGATAACAGCTCACGCATTGATAACAGCTCACGCATTGATAACAGCTCACGCATTGATAACAGCTCATGCATTGATAACAGCTCATGCATTGATAACAGCTCACGCATTGATAACAGCTCATGCATTGGTAACAGCTCACGCATTGATAACAGCTCACGCATTGATAACAGCTCACGCATTCATAACAGCTCACGCATTGATAACAGCTCATGCATTGATAACAGCTCACGCATTGAAGCTCATGCATTGATAACAGCTCATGCATTGATAACAGCTCACGCATTGATAACAGCTCACGCATTGATAACAGCTCACGCATTGATAACAGCTCAAGCATTGATAACAGCTCACGCATTGATAACAGCTCACGCATTGATAACAGCTCACGCATTGATAACAGCTCACGCATTGATAACAGCTCACGCATTGATAACAGCTCACGCATTGATAACAGCTCACGCATTGATAACAGCTCACGCATTGATAACAGCTCACGCATTGATAACAGCTCACGCATTGATAACAGCTCACGCATTGATAACAGCTCACGCATTGATAACAGCTCATGCATTGATAACAGCTCACGCATTGATAACAGCTCACGCATTGAAGCTCATGCATTGATAACAGCTCACGCATTCATAACAGCTCATACATTGGTAACAGCTCACGCATTGATAACAGCTCACGCATTGATAACAGCTCATGCATTGATAACAGCTCATGCATTGATAACAGCTCACGCATTGATAACAGCTCACGCATTCATAACAGCTCACGCATTGATAACAGCTCACGCATTGATAACAGCTCACGCATTGATAACAGCTCATGCATTGATAACAGCTCATGCATTGATAACAGCTCACGCATTGATAACAGCTCACGCATTCATAACAGCTCACGCATTCATAACAGCTCACGCATTGATAACAGCTCATGCATTGGTAGCAGCTCACGCATTGATAACAGCTCACGCATTGATAACAGCTCACGCATTGGTAACAGCTCATGCATTGGTAACAGCTCACGCATTGATAACAGCTCACGCATTGATAACAGCTCATGCATTGATAAAAGCTCATGCATTGATAACAGCTCATGCATTGATAACAGCTCATGCATTTATAACAGCTCACGCATTGATAACAGCTCACGCATTGATAACAGCTCACGCATTCATAACAGCTCACGCATTGATAACAGCTCACGCATTGATAACAGCTCACGCATTGATAACAGCTCACGCATTGATAACAGCTCACGCATTGATAACAGCTCACGCATTGATAACAGCTCACGCATTGATAACAGCTCACGCATTGATAACAGCTCACGCATTGAAGCTCATGCATTGATAACAGCTCACGCATTGATAACAGCTCACGCATTGATAACAGCTCACGCATTGATAACAGCTCACGCATTGATAACAGCTCACGCATTGATAACAGCTCATGCATTGATAACAGCTCATGCATTGATAACAGCTCACGCATTGATAACAGCTCATGCATTGATAACAGCTCACGCATTGATAACAGCTCACGCATTGATAACAGCTCACGCATTGATAACAGCTCACGCATTGATAACAGCTCATGCATTGATAACAGCTCATGCATTGATAACAGCTCACGCATTGATAACAGCTCACGCATTCATAACAGCTCACGCATTGATAACAGCTCACGCATTGATAACAGCTCACGCATTGATAACAGCTCACGCATTGGTAACAGCTCATGCATTGGTAACAGCTCACGCATTGATAACAGCTCACGCATTGATAACAGCTCACGCATTGATAACAGCTCACGCATTGATAACAGCTCATGCATTGATAACAGCTCACGCATTGATAACAGCTCATGCATTGATAACAGCTCATGCATTGATAACAGCTCACGCATTGATAACAGCTCACGCATTCATAACAGCTCACGCATTGATAACAGCTCACGCATTGATAACAGCTCACGCATTCATAACAGCTAACGCATTGATAACAGCTCACGCATTGATAACAGCTCATGCATTGATAACAGCTCACGCATTGATAACAGCTCATGCATTGATAACAGCTCATGCATTGATAACAGCTCACGCATTGATAACAGCTCACGCATTCATAACAGCTCACGCATTCATAACAGCTCACGCATTGATAACAGCTCACGCATTGGTAACAGCTCACGCATTCATAACAGCTCACGCATTGGTAACAGCTCATGCATTGATAACAGCTCACGCATTGGTAACAGCTCACGCATTCATAACAGCTCATGCATTGGTAACAGCTCACGCATTGATAACAGCTCACGCATTGATAACAGCTCAAGCATTGATAACAGCTCATGCATTGATAACAGCTCACGCATTGATAACAGCTCACGCATTCATAACAGCTCACGCATTGATAGCAGCTCACGCATTGATAACAGCTCACGCATTCATAACAGCTCACGCATTGATAACAGCTCATGCATTGATAACAGCTCACGCATTGATAACAGCTCACGCATTGATAACAGCTCACGCATTGATAACAGCTCACGCATTGATAACAGCTCATGCATTGATAACAGCTCATGCATTGATAACAGCTCACGCATTGATAACAGCTCATGCATTGATAACAGCTCACGCATTGATAACAGCTCACGCATTGATAACAGCTCACGCATTGATAACAGCTCACGCATTGATAACAGCTCACGCATTGATAACAGCTCACGCATTGATAACAGCTCACGCATTGATAACAGCTCATGCATTGATAACAGCTCATGCATTGATAACAGCTCACGCATTGATAACAGCTCACGCATTGATAACAGCTCACGCATTGATAACAGCTCACGCATTGATAACAGCTCATGCATTGATAACAGCTCACGCATTGATAACAGCTCACGCATTGATAACAGCTCACGCATTGATAACAGCTCACGCATTGATAACAGCTCATGCATTGATAACAGCTCATGCATTGATAACAGCTCACGCATTGATAACAGCTCATGCATTGGTAACAGCTCACGCATTGATAACAGCTCACGCATTGATAACAGCTCACGCATTCATAACAGCTCACGCATTGATAACAGCTCATGCATTGATAACAGCTCACGCATTGAAGCTCATGCATTGATAACAGCTCATGCATTGATAACAGCTCACGCATTGATAACAGCTCACGCATTGATAACAGCTCACGCATTGATAACAGCTCAAGCATTGATAACAGCTCACGCATTGATAACAGCTCACGCATTGATAACAGCTCACGCATTGATAACAGCTCACGCATTGATAACAGCTCACGCATTGATAACAGCTCACGCATTGATAACAGCTCACGCATTGATAACAGCTCACGCATTGATAACAGCTCATGCATTGATAACAGCTCATGCATTGATAACAGCTCATGCATTGATAACAGCTCATGCATTGATAACAGCTCACGCATTGATAACAGCTCACGCATTGATAACAGCTCACGCATTGATAACAGCTCACGCATTGATAACAGCTCACGCATTGATAACAGCTCATGCATTGATAACAGCTCACGCATTGATAACAGCTCACGCATTGATAACAGCTCATGCATTGATAACAGCTCATGCATTGATAACAGCTCATGCATTGATAACAGCTCATGCATTGATAACAGCTCATGCATTGATAACAGCTCACGCATTGATAACAGCTCAAGCATTGATAACAGCTCACGCATTGATAACAGCTCACGCATTGATAACAGCTCAGGCATTGATAACAGCTCAGGCATTGATAACAGCTACATTCATAACAGCTTCTGTATTCATAACAATTGCATTCATTACAGCTCGTGCAGTCATAACTCGTAGATCCATACTCATGCATTCATAACAGCTCGTGCAGCATACACAACAGCTCATGCAGAATTCATAACAGCTCGTGCAGCATTCATAAGAGCTTGTGCAGCATTCATAAGTGTTCTCTAGCTCACTTATGAAGCTGCTCTTCATGGGTCGACCTCGCTATAACGGCTCAATGACTCAACGACTCAAAGAATTTATACTTAGCATTAAAAAAAAGCGTATTTTATGTTTTGTTAAGGGAGGGATTGTGCTGAATTGTCATGAAATGTTAATACAAGGGAGGGATTGTGCTGAATTGTCATGAAATGTTAATACAACCCAAACATTTTCAAGCACATTCATAATTGAGAATGACACACTCATCCTTCACAATTACCCATTAACTTTATTACATCATGCATTTATTGGACTTTAAAAAAACAAGCCTTCAAGTCAAATTTGCTTGGATAGCACACAGAAAACCACTATTTTAATGTTTATAATATTTTAATATTAGAGCTTGGTGATAATATAGTTACAGAAATCAGGCATTTGAGGAAGAGCTGAACACACACAGCTGTAAGAGAAAGACTCCGCTGATCGAACTCAAGACAATACAAGAGCGTCATTATGAAAACCTATAATATCTTTATCCTGTAAGTGAGAGTAAAACGTGATAAATGTGCTCATGAGTTCCAAAAATGTGACCAAAAGTTCTCCTGTGCAGGTTCATCTGAAGGATATCCTCACAGCGCTGGTCTCGCGGAGGAAAGGCTACCGCCTGCGCGACGGACACTTCCAGTACGCGTTCGGCAGTGACGTGACGCCGCGGCCGTATCTGAAGAACAGTCTGGCGGCCTACCTCAGCGTCACAGAGCGGTACGTCAACTTCCTCCTCTTAGCTCAATCACTCAGCACCAGTGTTCGGGACAGTTACTTTTAACAGTGATGCATTATAATATTGTGTTATTCACAAAAAAACCTAACTAATTGCATACCTGTCAAGTTTTGGATTTGAAAATAAGGGAAATTTTCCGGCGCCCACCGCGAGCAGTCCCACCACCCCAACCAAGCTCCAGTATCCCTTACATTTTAAGACAGGTGTTATAGCCTAAATGAACACACGCACACACACACACACACACACATATGTGTGTGTGTGTGTGTGTGTGTGTGTGTGTGTGTGTGTGTGTGTGTGTGTGTGTGTTTTTCATTTAGGCTATAACACCGGTCTTAATAGGCCTATGTATGGTAACGTTATAGGGTATTAAGAGCGTTTATTTAAAGGCTTATTTGCATATTTTCGGTTCATTTAACATTGCTTGTCTTTACATTTACATTTTATTTTCATTCCACACATTTTCATTTCATATTGCTTTTCTTTTACAGTTTTCCTTTTCATTTGCAGTTTTTCTTTTTATTTCACATAACTTTTCTTTACTCTTTTAGTGAGTTATTGAAAAAAATTGTTGCAGACTTTGTATTAACTGTTTTGGAAGGAGTGTATTTGTGGACTGGGCCAGAGTGGTTAATTTTACATGAGAGTAGACTAGAGCAAACAGTTCTGTGTTGTCTAACGTCATCCTATTCTGTGTAACAATCTTTCGTACCATATAAAACACCCTTTCTCGTGCTGATCGAGATACATCATTCCTTTCCCGTGTGAGATGCTAAAGTCGCAGTTACAAAACTTACAAAACGCGTGACTGTCCCCCACGCTGCTCCTCTTCAGAAAAGAAAATTCGCTATCCCATTGATCGCGGTATTTAGTACATGAGAGTTTTGGTTTTTTGGCAGGAGTGCCTTGCTCTGTCATAGCGTCCATCATCCGTCTCTGTTTTTGTTTGTTTTTTGTTTCCCCCGCGTTGTCACTCATCATCTGACCTCACACTAACATCGCGACAACTGCCACCTACAGTACCTGGAACGTTAGTTATCGCGAGGCTAGTGACAGAGCTCAGATTGGGAATGTTTTTTTTTGTTTTGTTTTACTCCGCCCGCGGTATTATTATTTTTCAATAACGCAGGTTAAAATACGGGAGATTTACGGGAAAATCCTAATACGGGAGGACGGCGGGAAAGAAGGGTTAAATACGGGACTTTCCCGGCCAAAACGGGATACTTGACAGGTATGTAATTGTGTTAATTAGTTACTTTTTATGAAAAGTAATGCATTACATTACTTTTCCTCACCTGGGCTGGGCTTGCTTGTTTGTTTTTTAGTAACAACAAAAAAAGTTATATTTTTGGCAAATGTAAAGACCCTTTCACACCAAAAGTGAACTGAATGAGTGAGGTGGAGTACAGTAGAATAAGGAGGACAGTAGAGTGAGGAGGACAGTAGAGTGAGGAGGACAGTAGAGTGAGGAGGACAGTAGAGTGAGGAGGACAGTAGAGTGAGGTGGAGTACAGTAGAGTGATGTGGAGTACAGTAGAGTGAGATGGAGTACAGCAGAGTGATGTGGAGTACAGTAGAGTGAGATGGAGGACAGTAGAGTGAGGTGGAGTACAGTAGAGTGAGGTGGAGTACAGTAGAGTGAGATGGAGTACAGTAGAGTGAGGTGGAGTACAGTAGAGTGAGGTGGAGTACAGTAGAGTGAGATGGAGTACAGTAGAGTGAGGTGGAGTACAGTAGAGTGAGGAGGACAGTAGAGTGAGGTGGAGTACAGTAGAGTGATGTGGAGTACAGTAGAGTGAGATGGAGTACAGTAGAGTGAGGTGGAGTACAGTAGAGTGAAGTGGAGTACAGTAGAGTGAGGTGGAGTACAGTAGAGTGAAGTGGAGTACAGTAGAGTGAGGTGGAGTACAGTAGAGTGAGGTGGAGTACAGTAGAGTGAGGTGGAGTACAGTAGAGTGAAGTGGAGTACAGTAGAGTGAGGTGGAGTACAGTAGAGTGAGGTGGAGGACAGTAGAGTGAGGTGGAGTACAGTAGAGTGAAATGGAGTACAGTAGAGTGAGGTGGAGTACAGTAGAGTGAGATGGAGTACAGTAGAGTGAGGTGGAGTACAGTAGAGTGAAGTGGAGTACAGTAGAGTGAGGTGGAGTACAGTAGAGTGAGGTGGAGTACAGTAGAGTGAGGTGGAGTACAGTAGAGTGAAGTGGAGTACAGTAGAGTGATGTGGAGTACAGTAGAGTGAAGTGGAGTACAGTAGAGTGAAGTGGAGTACAGCAGAGTCAGGTGAAGTACAGTAGAGTGAAGTGGAGTACAGTAGAGTGAGGTGGAGTACAGTAGAGTGAGGTGGAGTACAGTAGAGTGATGTGGAGTACAGTAGAGTGAGATGGAGTACAGTAGAGTGAGGAGGAGTACAGTGGAGTACAGCAGAGTCAGGTGAAGTACAGTAGAGTGAAGTGGAGTACAGTAGAGTGAGGTGGAGTACAGTAGAGTGAGGTGGAGTACAGTAGAGTGATGTGGAGTACAGTAGAGTGAGATGGAGTACAGTAGAGTGATGTGGAGTACAGTAGAGTGATGTGGAGTACAGTAGAGTGAGATGGAGTACAGTAGAGTGAGGAGGAGTACAGTGGAGTACAGCAGAGTCAGGTGAAGTACAGTAAAGTGAAGTGGAGTACAGTAGAGTGAGGTGGAGTACAGTAGAGTGAGGAGTACAGTAGAGTGAGGTGGAGTACAATAGAGTGAGGAGGGAGTGAGGTGGAGTACAGTAGAGTGAGGTGAAGTACAGTAGAGTGAGGTGGAGTAAAGTAGAGTGAGGTGGAGTAGGGAAGTGGAGTACAGTTGAGTGAGGTGGTGGAGTACAGTGGAGTGAGGTGGAGTACAGTAGAGTGAGGAAGAGTACAGTAGAGTGAGGTGGAGTACAGTAGAGTGAGGTGGAGTACAGTAGAGTGAGGTGGAGTACAGTGGAGTGAGGTGGAGTACAGTAGAGTGAGGGGGAGTACAGTAGAGTGAGGTGGAGTACAGTAGAGTGAGGAGTACAGTAGAGTGAGGTGGAGGAGTACAGTAGAGTGAGTGAGGTGGAGTACAGTAGAGTGAGGAGTACAGTAGAGTGAGGTGGAGGAGTCCAGTAGAGTGAGGTGGAGGAGTACAATAGAGTGAGGTGGAGTACAACAGTAGAGTGAGGTGGAGTACAGTAGAGTGAGGTGGAGGAGTACAGTATAGTGAGGTGGTGGAGTACAGTAGAGTGAGGAGGAGTACAGTAGAGTGAGGTGAAGTACAGTAGAGTGAGGTGGAGTACAGTAGAGTGAGGAGGAGTACAGTAGAGTGAGGTGGAGTACAGTAGAGTGAGGTGGAGTAGGGAAGTGGAGTACAGTTGAGTGAGGTGGTGGAGTACAGTGGAGTGAGGTGGAGTACAATAGAGTGAGGAGGAGTACAGTAGAGTGAGGTGGAGTACAGTAGAGTGAGGTGGAGTACAGTAGAGTGAGGTGGAGTACAGTGGAGTGAGGTGGAGTACAGTAGAGTGAGGGGGAGTACAGTAGAGTGAGGTGGAGTACAGTAGAGTGAGGAGTACAGTAGAGTGAGGTGGAGGAGTCCAGTAGAGTGAGTGAGGTGGAGTACAGTAGAGTGAGGTGGAGTACAGTAGAGTGAGGTGGAGGAGTCCAGTAGAGTGAGGTGGAGTACAACAGTAGAGTGAGGTGGAGGAGTACAATAGAGTGAGGTGGAGTACAGTAGAGTGAGGTGGAGGAGTACAGTATAGTGAGGTGGTGGAGTACAGTAGAGTGAGGAGGAGTACAGTAGAGTGAGGTGGAGTACAGTAGAGTGAGGTGGAGTACAGTAGAGTGAGGAGGAGTACAGTAGAGTGAGGTGGAGTACAGTAGAGTGAGGTGGTGGAGTACAGTGGAGTGAGGTGGAGTACAATAGAGTGAGGAAGAGTACAGTAGAGTGAGGTGGAGTACAGTAGAGTGAGGTGGAGTACTTTAGAGTGAGGTGGAGTACAGTGGAGTGAGGTGGAGTACAGTAGAGTGAGGGGGAGTACAGTAGAGTGAGGTGGAGTACAGTAGAGTGAGAAGTACAGTAGAGTGAGGTGGAGGAGTCCAGTAGAGTGAGTGAGGTGGAGTACAGTAGAGTGAGGAGTACAGTAGAGTGAGGAGGAGTACAGTAGAGTGAGGTGGAGTACAGTAGAGTGAGGTGGAGTACAGTAGAGTGAGGAGGAGTACAGTAGAGTGAGGTGGAGTACAGTTGAGTGAGGTGGTGGAGTACAGTGGAGTGAGGTGGAGTACAATAGAGTGAGGAGGAGTACAGTAGAGTGAGGTGGAGTACAGTAGAGTGAGAAGTACAGTAGAGTGAGGTGGAGGAGTCCAGTAGAGTGAGTGAGGTGGAGTACAGTAGAGTGAGGTGGAGTACAGTAGAGTGAGGAGGAGTACAGTAGAGTGAGGTGGAGTACAGTAGAGTGAGGTGGAGTACAGTAGAGTGAGGAGGAGTACAGTAGAGTGAGGTGGAGTACAGTTGAGTGAGGTGGTGGAGTACAGTGGAGTGAGGTGGAGTACAATAGAGTGAGGAAGAGTACAGTAGAGTGAGGTGGAGTACAGTAGAGTGAGGTGGAGTACTTTAGAGTGAGGTGGAGTACAGTGGAGTGAGGTGGAGTACAGTAGAGTGAGGGGGAGTACAGTAGAGTGAGGTGGAGTACAGTAGAGTGAGAAGTACAGTAGAGTGAGGTGGAGGAGTCCAGTAGAGTGAGTGAGGTGGAGTACAGTAGAGTGAGGAGTACAGTAGAGTGAGGTGGAGGAGTCCAGTAGAGTGAGGTGGAGTACAACAGTAGAGTGAGGTGGAGTACAATAGAGTGAGGTGGAGTACAACAGTAGAGTGAGGTGGAGTACAGTAGAGTGAGGTGGAGGAGTACAGTATAGTGAGGTGGTGGAGTACAGTAGAGTGAGGTGGAGTACAGTAGAGAGGTGGAGTAGAGTGAGGTGGAGTACAGTAGAGTGAGCAG